AGGCCAGGGGGACGATCTCACAATTTTTATTTGAAAATTGTGTTTCTTAAAAAATGGCAAGAACTTTCTTTACAAAACATAAAATGGCAAGAACTTTCTTTACAAAATACAAAATGGCAAAAACGTACTTTAAAGTACAAAAATTTGCAAAAACTTTCTTTACGAAACATAAAATGGCAATAACTTCATTTTTAAAAGCTAAAAAATAGTCTGATTCGTATAATTTGTCACCCGCACGCCGCAGAACTCAAAAAATGCATGTTTAAAAAGAATTCGCAGGAACTTTTTTTACAAGGCATAAAATGGCGAAAACTTTCTTTACAGGGCATAAAATCGCAAAAACTGTCTTTACAGAAAGAAATAGCAAGAACTTTCTTTACATAACATAAAATGGCAAGAACTTTTTTTACAACTCAAAAAATTGCAAGAACTTTCTTTACAAAACTAAAAATAGCAAGGATTTTCTTTACAAACTTTTAAATCGTTAAAAAGTGTTTTATGCTAATTTTTGTGTCATTTTATGTTAGCAAGAATGGCTTTTAGCGTAATTTTAGCCCTATTTTCCTGTTTGTTCAAGGGTTTCTGAAAATAATTTGGCCGACTTCCTTTTGGTTCATTTAATCCTTCGCTTGGCCTAGTCTGGCCAAGTGTTTTGTTACAATTAATCCCCAAATTACAATTTGGAAAACTGTTTTTCGAAGAATGGGTTTTTGAAATGATTATTGGACCTTTTTATGCAAATTCTTTGATTTTAAAAATTCAAATTTTTTTTCGAAATTTTTTGAAATTTTAAAATTATGGCAAACCTCAAACCTGATGCCTTTAGGCTTGAAAGAGGGTTTACTAGGCGCAGCCTAACCCTTGTACAAGTCTACTTGGCCTAAAACGGCATGAACTTTCTTTACAGAACAAAAATGGCAAGAACTTTCTTTACAAATCAAAAAATGGCAAGAACTTTGTTTACAAATCGAAAAATGACAAAGATTTTGTTTACAAAACATGAAATGGCAAGAACTTTCTTTACAGAAGTTAAACTGGCAAAAGTAGCAAAATGGCATTCATGGTATAACTTGTCACCCGCAGGCTGCACAACCCAAATGTGCTTATTTTCAAATGAATAGGCAAGAAGTTTCTTTACAGAACATAAAATGGCAAGAACTTTCTTTACAAAACAAAAAATGGCAAGAATTTTTTTTATAAAACGAAAAATGACAAAAACTCTTTACAGGGCATAATTACAATTCGGGAAAAAACCCATTTCGTATTTTACAACCCAAAACTTTATTTCCAAAAAAATTTAAAATTTATTTTAAAATTTTTTAAAAATTTCGATTAGTTTCGCTTGGATTTAAGAGGAAATTTGCTTGATTGGCAATGTGAGTAATGTTTGGATTCGCTCAAAAGGTTCAAAGCGAAATCCGATCACGGCCGCAGGGCCATTTCTCTGTTTGAATTTCGATTTTGGAGAGTTTTCGAAATTTTGGAAAATCCGTTTTTAAATGTAAAATACGAGATGGGCCGCGCTTAAAAAGTTTAAGAGCGGCTGATTGTACGTTTTTTGGATTGTAAAGAAAGTTCTTGCGGTTCTTGTTTTGTGAGGAAAGTTCTTGCCATTTTTTGTTTTGTAAAGAAAATTCTTGCCGGTTTTTGTTTTGTAAAGAAAGTTCTTGCCATTTTATGATCTGTAAAGAAAGTTTTTTGCGTTTGTTTGCTTTTTTTAAAGAAAATTTTTTCTTATTTTGTGTTTGTTTTGTAAACAAAGTTCTTGCCAAGTCTGTTCAAAATAAGTTCATTTGCGCTCTGCAGCCTGTGGGTGACAAGTTATACGCTGGTTGCAATTTTTTGTAATTTATCTATCTGTAAAGAAAGTTTTTGCTATTTTTTACATTTTAAAGAAAGTTCTCGTCATTCTATGATTTGTAAAGAAAGTTTTTGTCATTTTTCGATTTTTAAGGAAAGTTCTTGCCAATTTTGTTCAAAATACGCACATTTTGCTTCTCGCAGCCTGTGAGTGACAAGTTATACGATGAATTCCATTTTTAATTTTCTAACGAGATTTTTTGGTAATTTCATAAAATGTAAAGAAAGTTCTTGCCATTTTATGTTTTGTAAAGAAAGTTCTTGCCATTTTATGCTTTGTAAAGAAAGTTCTTGCCATTTTATGCTTTGTAAAGAAAGTTCTTGCCATTTTATGCTTTGTAAAGAAAGTTCTTGCCATTTTATGCTTTGTAAAGAAAGTTCTTGCCATTTTATGTTTTGTAAAGAAAGTTATTGCAATTGTTCAATTCGTATATAAAAAATATTTTAAAAATTTTGTCTCAAGATTCGAAATGATAACGATTTGTCACCAATAATCTCTTAATGACGTTTCAATATCTAACTTGGTTACTTTGGATAATTACCAGTTTGGGGATTAGGACCGAAAAGTTTATTCGAAACAGGAATTTGGATTATTTTACACACGGCTTTTATATTATAGTACTATTACACTGGGTGGTAGAGGGTGGGAGGGTGGTTTGTGTTTTGACATAAGACAGTTTAAACTGGGGTTAGGTAGGGAGGGGGACGTAGGCTAGGGCAGAAGTAGGGGCAGGGCAAGTGCTCTGGGTTAGGGCTCTGAACTAGGGTTCTCGGTAGACATGGGGAACGGGCCGGACTCATTTTCTAGGCCCGGCCCGATCTGAGTTTTCTTAGGACCGGGCCGGGCTTTTTCGGAATTTCCAGGCTCGGCTTGACCTAAATTTTGCTCAGGCCCGGCCCGCTCCCCATGTCTAGTTCTGCTCTGGGCTAGGGCTCTGGACTAGGGCTTTGGGCTAGGGCTTTGGGATAGGGCTTTGGGATAGGACTCTGGACTAGAGCTAGGGCCTGGGCTAAAGCTCTGAGTTAGGGCTCTGGGCTAGGGCTCTGGGCTAGGGCTTTGGGATAGGACTCTGGACTAGAGCTAGGGTCTGGGCTAAGGCTCTGAGTTAGGGCTCTGGGCTAGGGCTCTGGGCTAGGACTCTGGGCTGGGGCTCTGGACTAGGCTTTCTTTAAAGTTTTTAACTTTTTCATAAATTTTTTGTCTCCCCCCCCCCCCTACCTAAAAATATTCTTTCTATTTTTACCCCACCTTCTTTTCTTTGTTTACCCTGCCTTCATTCCATGCCATTCTTCCTCCTCTGCCACTTTGTTTTGCCATGTTTATCCGGCTGCAAAGGTGGTATGTTGTTAACCTGGCTGCTGGCTGCACTCTTAAGTGGCTCTGAAATTAAAATTGTAAAAAGAACGGGAGGGGGGGGAGAGGGAATGTGTTTTTCGAAGAAAAAACATTTTTCTTTTTTTCGTTTTCGCTTCGCACGTGTGCCCATATATTTTTCGAATTTATGGCTTGCCAGCGGCTTCTGGGACACTGGATTTCGCGGTTTTATGATTTTCTATTATGTCGTTTGGAGGGGGGTTTCGAAAGTAATATGCTACAAATCTTGGGAGTTTTTAAATTTTTGATTTGCGATGAAAAGGCAGGGGTAATTTGTTTTTTTGAAAAAAAAGGGGTTTTTGAAATTTTTGGGGTGAATTTTTTGAAGGCAGGCTAGGTTTTTTAAGTGTAGGGTAGAACTTAAAAGGCATGGTAGGTTTTTTAAGGGTAGAGTTGGGTTTTTTAATACATGACGGATTCTTTGGTAAGGTAGTTTTTTCAAAATAAGGGTTATAAGAAAAAAGTTTTTTAAATTTTCGAAGGCAGGGTAGCTTTTTTTAAGAGAGGGTAGGTTTTCTGAAGGAAGGGTAGATTTTTGGGCTAAGGCTAGGGCTAGGACTAGAGCGATAGCTAGAGCTAGTTCTAGGCTAGGGCTTTGGGCTAGGGCTCTGGGCTAGGGCTCTGGGCTAGGGTTCTGGGTTAGGGCTCTGGACTAGGGCTCTGGACTAGGGCTCTGGGCTAGGGCTAGGGCTCTGGGCTAGAGCTCCGGGCTGGGGCTTTAGGCTAGGGCTACAACAATCACCACTATTCCAATAACAATACCATTTCTTTAGGTCATGATTCGCGTTTTTTCTCCGTTCGCCGGAAATTGTTAGGTTTCGCTTATTTTAATTGTTTTTTTCAGCTCGAAACATCGCTTCTCGACTCTCGACTTGTTTTCACTGTACAAATAAGGCTGGGGGGGGAAAGTAAGTAAAAAATGGGTTTGGCGGCAGCCGGCTGTCTTTTTCGCTTTTCGGGTTTTGCAACTAATCGCGACAAACCCCCCATGTGACTGTTTTTGTCACATTTTTGGGTCAGGAATTGGTTTTTGAGGTCAAAAATGTTATTTTTAGGTAACAAAAATGATTTTTTAGGTAACAAAATTGGGTTTTTAAATTTTTGAGTGACAAAGCTAGATTTCTTTACAATTTTAGGTAACAAAACTGATTTTTTTCAATTTTTTAGGTAATAAAATTGACTTTTTCTTATATTTTTAGGTAACAAATTTCACTTTTTTCCCAATTTTTTCAAATTTCAAAGCAAATTTCGAAATTTTAAATCACATTTTAGGTAACAAAGTCCCTTTTTTATCTGTAAACAAAGTTTTTGCAAAAAATCCAAAAAAGAATGGCAGAAAATTAACTTTTTAGCTCTTAAATCACTATAAACGCAGTTTTTTAGGTAACAAGTTTATGTTTTTTGTAAACAAAGTTCTTTCGGCTTTAAAATGCACTTTCCTTCCATTTTGTCGATGAAAAAGCGAAAAAAGTTTAATAAAAAAGTCATGTGATTCAGAAGTGAGCGGTTTTTTGTAGCTAAACATAAAATAACATAGGGAAGGGGAAGGTTTTTTTACTTTTTTAAGTTTGAAATTTTGAAAAAATTTTTGAAATTTTAAAGTTTTTGGAGGCTGACACTACTTGGAAACAAAGTTCTTGCATTTTTTGCTTTGTAAAGAAAGTTTTTGCTCTTTTTTAAAATTTTTCGAAATTTTTTGAAATTCCACCCTAATTCCCATGCCATTTCAGAATAACACCTGAACTTTCGTCCTGAGCCTTTCAAAATGTCGCAAGCGCCGCGAAAGTTCAGCGACAAGATCGCGATGTTGATGAATAAGCAGAACGAGGAGGAGGAGCAGTTCAACCGAGTGATGAAGGATGTTCGACCGATCACAGCTTCAACTCCAGGCAAATCACCCAACTCTACACCTTCTTCCACACCTTACACATGTTCTCCTACAGGTAGGGGGCTGATTTTTGCAATTTTTTTAGGATTTTAGGTAACAATTTATAACAATACTGCGATTTTTTAGTATTTTAGATGACAATTTTAATGAATTTACGACTCTTTCTGTATTTTTAGGTACCACAGTAAATTGTTTAAGGCTTCTCTTAGGGTAGGGAAGACTTGGATAAAATTGTCTTTTGAATTTTAGGTAACAAACTTACCTTAATATAGCCTGTATGATTAATATGAAGAAAATTAGGTAACAAATATAACTTTTTATGGCCATTTTAGGTAACAACTTACCTTAATATTGCCTTGTATACCAAATTTTAGGTAACAACTCTTACTTTTTACGATTATTTTAGGTAACAACCTACCTTAACATCACTCTTTTAGGTAACAATCCAAACTTCCTTCCAAACACCGAAAGCCCCGACTACCTCCAACTTCACCCCCTATCAATGGCATGGCAACGACAAGGTGGCTCCCTTCCCAACGTCCACGCTATGCTACAACCAAATGTGAACCCAAACCTACCTCAACCACCCCCCGATATGTATGGTAACTGGGCCTACTGGCAACAACAACCATCCACAGCGCAACCGACCGGCTATGGACATGTGAGGACAAGGTCGCCGGGAGCACAACATTATCATCCATATAGAGCGAATGCCAAGAGTAATGAGAGGGTACCACCTTTGGAGAACCATTTGGTTAACAGTGGTCAGATGCATCTTCAGCCACCTGATCCGAACTGGTCAAAGTAGGTTTTTACCGGTTGATTTTTGGGTTTTAGGTGTGAAGATTTGTCATTAGGTTGTTCATGTAGTTATGTGCCTTCTAACATCGAAAGAGTTGCTGAGAGGGGCACAGAATTATTTTAACAACCTAATGGAAAGAGCCAAAACGGTAACTTAACAAGGGGAGTACCTGATCTGCCCTACTCATAATTAGCTCAAAGTTTTTATAGAACTCTCTGTCCACTAGTACTACAAGTAAAAAGTTTTAACTTGCGTTTTTAAGTTTCAAAATTTGAATATTTGAATTCCCGCCAATTTGGCAAAATTTGGCATTGTGTTTCAAGCACTTTTTTTCGACTTTCCAGACACGCTACGCTTACAAAACTAATAATATACGTTCATTTAAAGATTTTCTACTAGTATATCAAAGAAAAATGATTAAAAGTCAAAAAATTACAAAGTTATAAGCGTGAAACACAATCCCAATTTGGAGGGAAATTCAAAACGTAATTTTTTTTATCTTGATTTTCTCGATTTACTGGAAAGCGGGGTTTAGTAACTTGTTGAAGGGCTTTTATTTACATAATTTTTCTATATAAAAAGTTTTAAGTCAATTAGAAATGGCAGTTAGGGTACTTTCTTTGTAAAGTGACAGCACGATGCAACCTAAAAACTCTTATTTTTGTTTAAAAACTGTCAGTTTTATAGTGTTTTTGGGCATTTTCAATTAATTTCTAGTTTTGTATAACTTCTTTTTTGATTTTCTATGGTTTCAAAATTAAAATATTACCTAAAAATACAAAATATGACCTTTTTTGCTCTAAAAAGTGCTTATAATCTACGTCAGCAAGCCCTTATCAGTAACATTTGACCCGTTTTTTCTTTATTTTGATGCAAAAGCGTTTCAAAATTTGAGCAAACATTGTTTTTGAAGACTTCTGGCAATTTTATAATCGTAAACAATTAGTAATCTGCAAGGTATTTTTGATAAAAATCGAAAAAAAGTTCATTTTTTAGCTAAAAAATTGAAAAAAATGCATTTTGTAGCCAACAAATTGACATTTAGGTTAAATTTACTTATGGTTAAGTTCAGTCAGCGTATTTTACATTATTAAAACTCATTTGAAATGACCGGAATTAAGTTTAAAAGCTACTGGAAGTTAAATTAATCATTGATACGGCAATTAAATCAATGAAAATTTCATTTTTTTAAGTTTTAAGCTTAAAAATTGGGTGAAATTCAATAAAAAACGCTGTTTGCACTCCCTTAAACTAATGAAAATTGCCATTTCCTACCCAATAAATCAATTAAATCTACCATTTTCAACATTTTAAACCACTAAAAACCACTGTTTTTTAGTTCCCGAGCCCGCTCCGACCCCGCCATCCACATGAACACGATGAACTCGATGCCCTTTTACAACCAGCCGGCTCCGCAATGGAAGCCCGAGATGAATGGGTACGTTGCGAACGGCCAACAGAACGGCAGTCCAATGCAAAGCCCTCAGAACCCCCTACTCAACCAAATGGCACCACAGTCCTACTATGCCCCGGGCAGTACGGGCTCTATCAACATGAGTATGTCACCGCCAGCCTATCCCATGCATTCCTCGCCTCAACAGTCGTGCACGCCCGACCAGGTACCGTGCGGCTCGTTACCGAACATGCACTCGCCTATGATGACGTCGCCGATGAGTTCACCGATGGGTATGTGTCAGTCGCCGGTCCAATCGCCTCAGGGCATGAATCAGCATCCGATGCAGGGAATGGGCACTTCGGCGCAGATGCAAAATCAAATGCAGGGTCAAAATTCGATGCAGGGTCAAAATCAGATGCAGAACCAAGGCCAAATGGCTGGCCAGAATCAGCATATGCAAATGAATCAAAATCAGCCTCAAAGCCAGCATTACCAGGGCCAGAATCCGCAGAATCACATGCAGAATCAGAATCCGAATCATCAGATGAGCCAAAATTCGAATCTGCATCAGAATCCACCCCAAATTAACCAAAACCAACCCGCCCAAAATGGGCATGTAAATTCACAAATGAACCCCCAAATCACCAAGCTTAACATGAACAACACTAACCACGTTCATCCACAACACCAGAAGGTTCAACAACAACAGAAGCCGCTACAACAACAGTTCAGCTACGACCAAGTCCAACATAACATGATGAACTACCCCTATGCCATGCAGAATGGCCAACTAGCCACGCCACAAGGTCAGGGGGTTGAGAGCTCGCAAAGTGCACCAACTTCACCAGCACAGTCGTTAGAAAACCCAATGCAACCTCATTGGCCACCGACTCGACACTTCAGTGCATCACCTGACACCATGGACATACCTAATATCGTGCTGACTGGTGCTGATGGAACGTTGGATTGCTTTCAGGTAAATTTGAAATTGATATTGCTTTAGGGCTTGCGAATACCTTGCTCTACCATGTATTGCCTTGCTTTGCCTTTCCTTACCATTGCCTTCCCATGCTTTGCCTATGCCTTGCCCTTGCCTTGCCTTGCCTTGCCTTGCCTTGCCTTGCATTGCCTTGCCCTTGCCTTGCCTTGCCTTGCCTTGCCTTGCCTTGCCCTTGCCTTGCCTTGCCTTGCCTTTCCTTACCATTGCCTTCCCATGCTTTGCCTATGCCTTGACCTTGCCTTGCCTTGCCTTGCCTTGCCTTGCCTTGCCTTGCCTTGCCTTGCCTTGCCTTGCCTTGCCTTGCCTTTCCTTGCCTTGCCTTGCCTTGCCTTTCCTTACCATTGCCTTCCCATGCTTTGCCTATGCCTTGCCCTTGCCTTGCCTTGCCTTGCCTTGCCTTGCCTTGCCTTGCCTTGCCTTGCCTTGCCTTTCCTTTCCTTGCCTTGCCTTGCCTTGCCTTTCCTTACCATTGCCTTCCCATGCTTTGCCTATGCCTTGCCCCTTGCCTTGCCTTGCCTTGCCTTGCCTTGCCTTGCCTTGCCTTGCCTTGCCTTGCCTTGCCTTGCCTTGCCTTGCCTTGCCTTGCCTTGCCTTGCCTTGCCTTGCCTTTCCTTTCCTTGCCTTGCCTTGCCTTGCCTTTCCTTACCATTGCCTTCCCATGCTTTGCCTATGCCTTGCCCTTGCCTTGCCTTGCCTTGCCTTGCCTTGCCTTGCCTTGCCTTGCCTTGCCTTTCCTTGCCTTGCCTTTCCTTACCATTGCCTTCCCATGCTTTGCCTATGCCTTGCCCTTGCCTTGCCTTGCCTTGCCTTGCCTTGCCTTGCCTTGCATTGCCTTGCCCTTGCCTTGCCTTGCCTTTCCTTTCCTTGCCTTGCCTTGCCTTGCCTTTCCTTACCATTGCCTTCCCATGCTTTGCCTATGCCTTGCCCTTGCCTTGCCTTGCCTTGCCTTGCCTTGCCTTGCCTTGCCTTTCCTTGCCTTGCCTTTCCTTACCATTGCCTTCCCATGCTTTGCCCTATGCCTTGCCCTTGCCTTGCCTTGCCTTGCCTTGCCTTTCCTTACCATTGCCTTCCCATGCTTTGCCTATGCCTTGCCCTTGCCTTGCCTTGCCTTGCCTTGCCTTGCCTTGCCTTGCCTTGCCTTTCCTTACCATTGCCTTCCCATGCTTTGCCTATGCCTTGCCCTTGCCTTGCCTTGCCTTGCCTTGCTTTGCCTTTCCTTGCCTTGCCTTGCCTTTCCTTTCCTTTCCTTGCCTTGCCTTGCCTTGCCTTGCCTTGCCTTGCCTTGCCTTGCCTTGCCTTTCCTTTCCTTGCCTTGCCTTGCCTTGCCTTTCCTTACCATTGCCTTCCCATGCTTTGCCTATGCCTTGCCCTTGCCTTGCCTTGCCTTGCCTTGCCTTGCCTTGCCTTTCCTTACCATTGCCTTCCCATGCTTTGCCTATGCCTTGCCCTTGCCTTGCCTTGCCTTGCATTGCCTTGCCCTTGCCTTGCCTTGCCTTGCCTTGCCTTGCCTTGCCTTGCCTTGCCTTGCCTTTCCTTGCCTTGCCTTGCCTTGCCTTGCCTTGCCTTGCCTTTCCTTGCCTTGCCTTTCCTTACCATTGCCTTCCCATGCTTTGCCTATGCCTTGCCCTTGCCTTGCCTTGCCTTGCCTTGCCCTGCACTGCCTCGCCCGAGCTTAACTTTGTCTTTTCCTTACGTGCCTTGCCTTCCCTTGCCTTGCCTTACCTGGCCCACGCCTTCTTTATACCTTGCTCTGCCCTGCCCTTACATTGTCCTACCCTGCCTTTACTTTGACCTGCCTTATCGTGCCTTGCCTTTTCCTTGTCTTACTCAACATGCTTGACATTGCCTTGCCTTGCATTGCCTTGCCCTTGCCTTGCCTCGCCTTGCCTTGCCTTGCCTTGCCTTGCCTTTCCTTGCCTTGCCTTGCCTTGCCTTGCCTTGCCTTGCCTTGCCTTGCCTTGCCTTGCCTTGCCTTTCCTTTTCTTGCCTTGCCTTGCCTTTCCTTACCATTGCCTTCCCATGCTTTGCCTATGCCTTGCCCTTGCCTTGCCTTGCCTTGCCTTGCCTTGCATTGCCTTGCCCTTGCCTTGCCTTGCCTTGCCTTGCCTTTCCTTGCCTTGCCTTGCCTTGCCTTTCCTTACCATTGCCTTCCCATGCTTTGCCTATGCCTTGACCTTGCCTTGCCTTGCCTTGCCTTGCCTTGCCTTGCCTTTCCTTGCCTTGCCTTGCCTTGCCTTTCCTTACCATTGCCTTCCCATGCTTTGCCTATGCCTTGCCCTTGCCTTGCCTTGCCTTGCCTTGCCTTGCCTTTTCCTTGTCTTACTCAACATGCTTGACATTGCCTTGCCTTGCATTGCCTTGCCCTTGCCTTGCCTTGCCTTGCCTTGCCTTGCCTTTCCTTTCCTTGCCTTGCCTTGCCTTGCCTTTCCTTACCATTGCCTTCCCATGCTTTGCCTATGCCTTGCCCTTGCCTTGCCTTGCCTTGCCTTGCCTTGCCTTGCATTGCCTTGCCCTTGCCTTGCCTTGCCTTGCCTTTCCTTACCATTGCCTTCCCATGCTTTGCCTATGCCTTGCCCTTGCCTTGCCTTGCCTTGCCTTGCCTTGCCTTGCCTTGCCTTGCCTTGCCTTGCCTTTCCTTTCCTTGCCTTGCCTTGCCTTGCCTTCCTTACCATTGCCTTCCCATGCTTTGCCTATGCCTTGCCCTTGCCTTGCCTTGCCTTGCCTTGCCTTGCCTTGCCTTGCCTTGCCTTGCCTTGCCTTGCCTTGCCTTGCCTTGCCTTGCCTTGCCTTGCCTTTCCTTTCCTTGCCTTGCCTTGCCTTGCCTTTCCTTGCCTTGCCTTGCCTTTCCTTACCATTGCCTTCCCATGCTTTGCCTATGCCTTGACCTTGCCTTGCCTTGCCTTGTCCCTTGCCTTGCCTTGCCTTTCCTTGCCTTGCCTTGCCTTGCCTTTCCTTACCATTGCCTTCCCATGCTTTGCCTATGCCTTGCCCTTGCCTTGCCTTGCCTTGCCTTGCCTTGCCTTGCCTTGCCTTTTCCTTGTCTTACTCAACATGCTTGACATTGCCTTGCCTTGCATTGCCTTGCCCTTGCCTTGCCTTGCCTTGCCTTGCCTTGCCTTGCCTTGCCTTGCCTTTCCTTTCCTTGCCTTGCCTTGCCTTGCCTTTCCTTACCATTGCCTTCCCATGCTTTGCCTATGCCTTGCCCTTGCCTTGCCTTGCCTTGCCTTGCCTTGCCTTGCCTTGCCTTGCCTTGCCTTGCATTGCCTTGCCCTTGCCTTGCCTTGCCTTGCCTTTGCCTCATACCATTGCCTTCCCATGCTTTGCCTATGCCTTGCCCTTGCCTTGCCTTGCCTTGCCTTGCCTTGCCTTGCCTTGCCTGCCTTGCCTTGCCTTGCCTTGCCTTGCCTTTGCCTTGCTCCTTGCCTTGCCTTGCCTTGCCCTTTCCTTACCATTGCCTTCCCATGCTTTGCCCTATGCCTTGCCCCCTTGCCTTGCCTTGCCTTGCCTTGCCTTGCCTTGCCTTGCCTTGCCTTGCCTTGCCCTTCCTCTGCCTTGCCTTGCCTTGCCTTGCCTTTCCTTACCATTGCCTTCCCATGCTTTGCCCTATGCCTTGTCCCCCTTGCCTTGCCTTGCCTCTGCCCTTGCCTTGCCCTTGCCTTGCCTTGCCTTGCCTTGCCTTTCCTTACCATTGCCTTCCCATGCTTTGCCTATGCCTTGCCCTTGCCTTGCCTTGCCTTGCCTTGCCTTGCCTTGCCTTGCCTTGCCTTGCCTTGCCTTGCCTTGCCTTTCCCTTGCCTTGCCTTTCCTTACCATTGCCTTCCCATGCTTTGCCTATGCCTTGCCCTTGCCTTGCCTTGCCTTGCCTTGCCTTGCCTTGCCTTGCCTTGCCTTGCCTTGCCTTGCCTTGCCTTGCCTTTCCTTACCATTGCCTATCCCATGCTTTGCCTATGCCTTGCCCTTGCCTTGCCTTGCCTTGCCTTGCCTTGCCTTGCTTTGCCTTTCCTTGCCTTGCCTTGCCTTGCCTTTCCTTTCCTTGCCTTGCCTTGCCTTGCCTTGCCTTGCCTTGCCTTGCCTTGCCTTGCCTTTCCTTTCCTTGCCTTGCCTTTCCTTACCATTGCCTTCCCATGCTTTGCCTATGCCTTGCCCTTGCCTTGCCTTGCCTTGCCTTGCCTTGCCTTGCCTTGCCTTGCCTTGCATTGCCTTGCCTTTCCTTACCATTGCCTTCCCATGCTTTGCCTATGCCTTGCCCTTGCCTTGCCTTGCCTTGCATTGCCTTGCCCTTGCCTTGCCTTGCCTTGCCTTGCCTTGCCTTGCCTTGCCTTGCCTTGCCTTGCCTTGCCTTTCCTTGCCTTGCCTTGCCTTGCCTTGCCTTGCCTTTCCTTGCCTTGCCTTTCCTTACCATTGCCTTCCCATGCTTTGCCTATGCCTTGCCCTTGCCTTGCCTTGCCTTGCCTTGCCCTGCACTGCCTCGCCCGAGCTTAACTTTGTCTTTTCCTTACGTGCCTTGCCTTGCCTTGCCTTACCTGGCCCACGCCTTCTTTATACCTTGCTCTGCCCTGCCCTTACATTGTCCTACCCTGCCTTTACTTTGACCTGCCTTATCGTGCCTTGCCTTTTCCTTGTCTTACTCAACATGCTTGACATTGCCTTGCTCTGCATCCTATTTTTCCCTGCTCTGTCCTATATTGCCTTTCCTTATCATTAGTCTATTCTTAACGCACTCTAGCTTTGCCTTAGTGTTTCTTAGGTTAGCCTAGCCTTACCCTAGAATTTTAAAGTTTAAATTGTTTTTTAATTTCAAAAATTTAAAAATTATAAATTTTTGAATTTCAGGACTTGCGCATCGACAACGAAATGGCTCAACTGCTGAACACTGGTGACCAAATCGATCCTGCCTACGAAACGCAACTGTTAAACTAAGCAAACCATTAACTATATATATTATATTAATGCCACATAACCTCTTATGTTGAATCACGAAAACTCAATAATTCAAAATGTACATCACTTAGTGTTTATAACAAAATTTGTATAGAAATTGTGAACGACGTTATTATTTGACATATTAAATCAGATTTCTTTCACACTTCGGTAGTTTGACGTATTTTACAAATTAAAATGCAATTTTATTGACCTGCTATACGATATTCTACCTTGCTTAACCCTACTCTACCCTACCATACCCTACCCTACCCTACCTTACCCTACCCTTCCCTACCCTACCTTACTCTGCTCCACCCTGCCCTAATCTACCCAACCTTACCTTGAATTTATTCTTGCTCTGTGATACCCTGCTTTACCGTATATGCATATATTACACTGCTTTGCTTTTACACTTTACAGTAATATATTATACGTTACCTTGCGTTACTTTAACGTATTTCAACTAGCACTATTAGGTCTTTAATCTACAGTAATCTGCTAACCTTGAAATTTATTATACAGTACCTTACGTTGTACTATCATAAGTTATAATACCTTAATTTAACTTGAAATAAGTTTGTCATACTTTGTTCTACCTTCAATTATTTTATCTTACATGACTTTACTTTCTCTAAGGCATTTTAATTTGCATAGATTTGAGTTGCCGCGTTCTACTGTAGTCGCTACTGTAATATTGCTTTTCCTTGTACTAGAATAACTTGTTTTAACTTGTTCTTTCAGTTCAGCACTTTATCTTACCTTAGCTTCACAATATTCCGCTTTACTTTACTTATACTCTTACATTATGCCTACCAAAACTTCTCACCTTAGCTTACCCCACCAAAATTTTCGCCTTACCATACCATATTTTCATCCTGCCATACCCATCCTAAAAACTTTTCTTATCTTGTTGCACAGTAAAAGCTACAGTATCCAAAAAAGTTTAAACAGTAACCACGCTTGTCACCAAATGTCATTGCCGAATTATTCTTTCAATGATCGATGCGAACGTGGATAATGAATCTGTTTTGAAGCTCGCGACCTTTACCTTGGCATTATCTCGCGATCTCGAAAACGAGAAAAAAAAGTTTTGTCGAGAGCGGGTTTCGTTGGGCGAAACTGCGACTCTCGATTAAACATTCTTCGTGTTAGCTAACGCTTATTTTGCGCTTTTTTATTTGTTTGGAACGTTACAAGTCATATTTTCAACGTTTTTTCGCTTCGTTGTAGTTTCACGGTTTTACGTTTTTATGGGGTTTACTGAGTAGTTTTTAGAAATGTAAAGGTGTGAGGCACAGTATTTTTACTTTTTTGATAATTTAGTTTACTTGCACTGGGTTGTGGTAATGTAAATTAGAAAACGGTTATGGATTAATAGATGATAGCGTAATACATAGCCAATGCTAAACTTAAAGCTCAGTGGACTAGAGCTAAAACTAAGGTCAGGGCTAGACTCCACGCTAAGGCTAAGACTAAGGAGAGGTTTAGGGCTAAAACTAAAAATGTTGTAATCAGCGTTAATAGTTTTATAAGCTAGGGCTAGGGCTTAGGCTAAAGCTAAGGCTAAAACTAAGGCTAAAGCTAAGGCTAAGGCTAAGCTAAGGCTAAGACTAAGGCTAAGTCTAAGGCTAAGACTAAGGCTAAGGATAAGGCTAAGACTAAGGCTAAGGATAAGACTAAGGCAAGAAATCTTGTATTAAAAAAAAACAAAAACGCTCATTTTTTTATTTTTACTTCAGCGTAATTTTAAAAATAGCCAAAAATTACCCCCACCCCCCATCCGCCACTTCTTCCTTAATAACCCTCTAATTTTCTTTTAAAAACGTTTATTATCATAACATTTTAATCCCTCCCCCCCCTCCTTCTTAAGCGTCTTTTTTGCACGTTCACACTCACCCCCCCCTCTCCCCCCGGGTTTAACAACGTTTTTGGAGGCATTCTCGTACCGGTCATTCCCTTTCACTTGAAGCCTTTTTTCGCCCCCCCCCCACCTTGTCTGTTCTATGCTCAAATTTGGGGTCCGAAAATGCGGCAAAACACCGACCAGTAAACAATGAGAAAGCGCGAGAGCGAAATGGGTTTTCGACCAAGAATTAATATTTTACGACTGGATTTGCAAGGGTGGGGGGGGGGGTTTAATTTGGTAGGATTTATAAGCTTGTTTTTATATTGCCATTAATTACCCTAGCCCAGAGCCCTAGCCCGGAGCCCAGAGCCCTAGCCCAGAGCCCTAGCTCAGAGCCCTAGCCCAGAGCCCTAGCCCAGAGCCCTAGCCTTAACCCAGAGCATTAGTCCAGAGGCCTAACCCAAAGCCCTAGCCCAGAGCCCTAGCTTTAGACTTGGCCACAGTCACGTTATTACTTTCTACTCGGACTTTAAGTTTACATTACCATGCCTTACAATTACCTTTACACTATCGACTACTTACATCAGAATCTCTACCCTCCTTTGCTCGAGTTAGGGGTAAAACCCGGGCTACGTCTTCTTCTTCTTTAGGTCAGGCTCAGCCTGAAGCCCAACGGTTAGGGCTCGGCTCGGGTTTTTCATTTTTTCTCATGCCGGCTTGGCCCGATGGCAAAGTAAGTCCGGTCCGGGCATGGGTCATTTCACACTTCTAGCCCTACTCACCACCCTACCCCTAGTTAACACTTCCTGACTTTACTTTATACTGTTGGTTTTTAACAATTTTGAAGATTTTCTAATCTTGTAACTTAACATTACGATTACAATTCTCCCAAAACAGACACAAATGACAGTCTTTTTGCATTACGAATTCATTGTATTTTTATTTTCGAATTCCAGACCATTAATGATTCAAAAAGCTGCTGTATAATGTTATTTGTACAAAATTTGGGCAAATATTTCATTTTAAAACGTCCACTCCCCCCCCCCTTCGCCTTTTCGATGAAGGGTCGAGAGCATTTGCACAACTGCGAGTGCTTTGCATATTCTCTGAATTTAATGTTTCCCACTTGTTTGTCGGGTTTTTGGGCTAAATTTAAAAGGAATCCTCTGAGGGTTCAAAAAATTTTTAAAAATTTAAAGTTTTGAGATGTTTTTTAAAAAAATATCAAGAGCTGGGGCAGGACTAGGGAAGAAGTGAAGCAGAGCTAGGCAAAAGCTATGAGAGGGCTAGGATATAACTTTTTGAAAAAAAATTTGTTTTGTTAACCATAATCCAAAATTTTTTCTCTCTTCCTTTACTTCTTTTCAAAATTACCCAGCCCACACTGCCCACCAGCTCCCATCACCCCCTCCGTCTCTCTTAGCTCCACCAGCCCCCTTACTCCTCTACCTCTTCCATAGCCCCCCACCCACCCCCTCCTCCTATATTTTCTAATTTTCTTGCGCTCCGCTCGCTTTTCCCTTTATATTTTAAGGTTCATTTTATGCCACAAGGGTTTCAGAAGCGGGGAGGGGGAAGGGAGGGGGGGGTTTTGTGGCAAGCCCCAGAGGGCAAAGAATAAGCGCTCTTTTTTCTTATTTTCGCTCACTTTTTGCCCAAATTTTTTATTTTTTGCTCAAATTTACAGGATTTCCCAAAATATTCAAACTGATTCGGTGAAGGGGGAGGGGGCTTTGTAAAGTTTGGGATTTTGGGAGAACTGGTTGGAAAGATGGATCATTTTGAGAATTGTAATAGGAACGATGGGGGTATTTTAAGAATAGTTTTTTAAACTGTAAGAGATTATAAGCTTGTTCAAATAGTTCTGTGCTCCAAACCCCGCAAATTTTATCTGAAAGAGGGCTCAAAAAAAATAGAAGAACGGTAGGTCACAGATAGTTTGGAACGATGGGGTATTCCAAGAATACTATTTGAAACTAAAGGGGATTAGAAGAACGATAGCTTTCTTAGAACGATGGGTACATTTTCGGAACGATGAAATTGGTTTGGGCATAGTTTTTTTTAACTTTCAAGTCTTGAAGGCCAAAGATTTGTTTTATGTACAAAATGTTGTGGTCAACATGGAGAAGTTTAGTTGAAAAAGGAATGCTTAATGATGGGTGTGGGTATACATTTTTTAAATTTAAAGAGGGAGGACAAATTTAATTAAACTCTTTTTTTTATTTTTAAGGATGGGGGAGGGGGGGGGGTAATTGGGTAAGGCAGGGTTTAGTTTAAAAAATTTTTTAAGTCATGAGCTTGGCTTTAAAACAGGGCGGGGTTTTTCCTTACTAAGACATATTTTTAGACTTGCCTTGTCTTACCGTGCCCTATCGTGCCTGCTTTCATCTGTCCTGTCCTGCTTTGCTCTGTTTTATCCTACCTTATCCTACTTTACCTTACCCTACCTTACCCAACGTTACCCTACCCTACCGCTGCTTTACATTACTTTACCCTATTTTACCCTACTTTACCCTATCCTTCTCTGGCCTGGTTCTGACCAGCCTTACCCTTGCTTCCATTACCTTGTCTTGGTGTTGCCCTGCCGTCCCATACCTTACCTTATCTTATTCAATCCTACATTTTAATGTATATTACCTATTTTTCTATCATATAAACCATGATAACATAACCAACCAACTAACATAACTCTTCTTTTCAATTTTCTCAAGTCTGTCAAAGTTGTTTACGAAACGAAGATTCTATTAATAACGCAGGTTAAACAAATTTTTAATTATTGCTGTAGCCATAGTAACGACTCTTCAAATTCCAAACAGTCATGAACGAGATTCAAAGTCCGAGGCCGTTTTAATTTGAATATACTCCATTTTGAGACATATACTCTATTACATGTATATACGTTTTACTATTCTCATGCCAGTAATGTTTTATTATATTTGATGTATTTACGATTACCATAATGTATAATATCAGATTGTTCAAATAATTCTGTGCTCCTTCTTAAAGCAAATTTTTGTGACTAGGGGAACAGAATTTTTTGAACAACTTAAAACTTTTTTTGTTTTTTACCGTTTTTAATTTGTTTTTTTTTATTTTTATCATTTTCAGTATCAAACGTGAAGAGCACAGTGAATATTCCAACTTGGGTTAACTGGACATTTTCTTGTTATATAAAGTCATCTCTCAACTAAATATTGTCAAACACATAAAGGAGTTACACTTTCTTTACTCTACAATACTAAAACTAGCCTTCAACCAACTATTTTACTGTAAAAACCATTGCACTAGATCTACATTAACCATGCCGCCTTGTGGAAAGCATGAGAATGGTAGTGTTCGTACCTCAACTTCAAAACCCAAAAAGCTCGGAAGTAAAAAGAAGTACTCAGAGTTTGAAGAGATTGCCTACAAAACTATACAAGCGTAAGTGTGCTCTAGACATAGGTCTAGGTTAACCTTACTCTACCCTCTCTCCTTGCCTTGCCTTGCCTTATTCTACTCTACTATACCTTACTGTACCTTACCGTACCCTACTTTAGCCTTCCGTACCCTAACATATTATACATTATCCTATCATAGTATTCCTTTCTATACTTCATCTTATTAGACCCATATATCATATCACATCTTATCTTACTATACTCTGCTTTACTATGCCCTACCTTATAACATACTTTTTTCTACTGTACAATACCTTTTATCCTACTGATTTTGCTACGCTTTTATATACAGTAACTTTAAATTTTCAGTCTAAACCCAAACCGTAAAATCCATCGTCGTGAAATAAAAATCGACCAAGTAAAAGAAGTTGTACGTCGAATTTACTACGGTGAACCTTTGTGTCCATTAGAGAGAGCATTGCCAAGTCCAGGTAGTGTCTCTTCAGCTGCCTCTACCTCAAGTTCGTCTATTACGAACCATGAAAACTTGAGTGACCGATCATCGACCAGTTCCAAAAAACCTGGTCGAAAAGTGTCACAAGGTGACATCGTGGAGCTTGACGGTAAGTTTTTTGTTATTATTGACAATAGGCGGGTATTTTATTTATAAAGGAGGAGGGAGGGGCAAAACATTTTGTTATAATATAACATTAAGGGCGCGAGGAGGGGGGGGCTGGGAGAGGGCTGAGAGAGGGCTGGGGAACAGACTTATTTGAAAAACCTAACATTAAATATATCATTATAAATTTAAGTTATCAAAATTTAAGTTTGAATTTTCAGAAACTGCCAAAAAAGTGACAGAACTCATATCTAAATCACTTGCCAAACCCAATGCACTCTTATCATTTCAATTCGTTAAAACCGAATGTCAAAGGATGTTTTCCGCTTCAAAACAGACAAATGTAAGTTTACATTGATCTAAAAATGATTTTTTAAACTTTTTTATAAATATTTATTTTTAAAAAAAAATTTTTAAATTAAAATTTTAATTTTTTTAAAATCGTAGTGTTTAAAAAAACCTTGTATTTGACTTACCCTACTCTACCCTACCATGCCATACCTTTACAGGCCCAAGCGTGACCTTCTTTATGCTATTATAGAGTCAAAAAAGTCTTGTCGCCCATTTACATAGATTTCCCGGTACGAAAACGACAAGACTTTTTTGACAGTATAAAGACTAATTTTGAATATATTTTTATATATTTAATTAGCGAAATTTGTCAATTCGTATTTTACAAACTTTTTCAGAATGAAATCTTGGGTTTTGTATCAAAAGCAGTTTTGAAAAATGACATTGACTCGAACATGACTCCAGAAAAGAACATTCAACGTGCCGAACTTTATGCCATATTGGAATTGTATAAGATCGAGTTGGACAGAGAACAAGGGGATGTTAATAAGGTACGTTTTTTCGTACTCGATCTACTCTACCCTACCCAACCCTACCCTACTCTACCCTACCCTACTCTACCCTACCCTACCATACCCTACCCTACCCTACCCTACCCTACCCTACCCTACCCTACCCTACCCTACCCTACCCTACCCTACCCTACCCTACCCTACCCTACCTTACCCTACCCTACCCTAAATTTAAATAGTTTTTCTGATACCTGATCTTATTTTAGGTCATTGCCAAACTTCGCTATTTGAACGTGTTGACAAGTGGCAAACTCTTCAATGTCTTCGTATCAGATGTTCTACATAAAACGTAAGTCTTAAATCTAAAGTAAAATTTTGGAATTTAAGGTTTACTTATCATAATATAGAGCTTTTAACACTACTTATAAAAACAAAGTCTTTTACTAAGCTTTAAAATGACTACCTACTACAACATAAGCCTTAAAGTCATATAGCTACTATAATGTTGTTTTTTTACTATAGCAAACTTAAGGCATACTATGATATAGGTATAAATGTAACTAAGACTATACTATAGATTTAAAAAGCCTAAACCAACTTTATATTGTCTTATGTTCTTCCCAACTCAACTTATTTTAAAGCAAATAAGTAGCAAAGAAGGAAAAAGACGAAACGTTTTAGTTTACTACTAAAACATGTTGATAACAGTCGACCAGGGAAAGAATATTTAGTTTTTGGTTCCTATTTTTGTTTACAAAATCTGTCTGAAAACAAAATTGAACATTCGGTTCATAGTAAAAATTGAATCTAATTATCAATTCTCCTTACCCTACATTACGCTACTTTACTCTACCATATCCTATCTGACCCTACTCTACCCTGCCCTAATTTATTGTACCTTACCCTACTCTACTCTGCCCTACCATACTCTACTTTATTGTACCCTACCCTAAATTATGATACTTTATCTTATCCTACTCTAGCCTGTCTTACCCTACCTTAGCACTACCTTACGCTAATTTACTTTACCCTGCACTATTAAACTCATTGTTATCATGTATACCAAAAGAAACACAATCCATTTTTCCACCGCATCCAAATGTCGTACTCTCTCGTTTTCGAATTAAACTAATTTTAGGCCCTAAGGCTGTTTTGTCGCTAGATCTTTTTTGCTTTACACACTTATGGATTAGGGCTTTTTTCATATTTTAGGTATATTACGAGTAATAAAGTCCTAGTTTTTTGAGTTTCAAAGAAAGCTCTTGCCATTTTATGTTTTGTAAAGAAAGTTCTTGCCATGTCAATCGCAAAAAGCACATTTTGCGTTGTGCAGCCTGCGGGTGACAAGTTATACGATGGATGCCATTTTCACTGTTTTAAACAAAGTTCTTGCTAACTTATGCCTTTTAAAGAAAGTTCTTACCATTTTACATTTTTTAAAAAAAGTTCTTGCCAATTTATGTTTTTCAAAAAAAGTGCTTGCCATTCTGATTAAAAAAAACAATTTACTGCCATTTTTCATGTCATGCTAATTTTAAAAATGGCATTTTGTTTAAGCAAAACTATTGACCTTCACTTAGCCCTCTACCTATCTCTGATCTCTCAATCCTATCTACCTATCTCTCATCTCTCAGTCTGTCCAATAAACCTTGTCAATGTTACATTCCGCGTTACACTGACGTATTTTATAGAGGAACGACCTCCATTCCCTTTCTCTCGAACACACAAAATGGTGGTTTGCGTGCAGTCTTCGGCTCTATTTTCGCGTCGAATACGTCTCTTTCTCGTTCGGGCCCCACCCCTACCCAGAGTTTTTTCGCGTTTCGACGGCTGTGGCAAACCACATACGAAACAGTTGGGGCTAGAGTTGAAGGTAGTTGACTTGAGGTCAAGGTTTGGGTCAGAAAATTGGGGAAAAACAAGTTTTAAGAGGGAATTTTAGGTGTTTGGGACCTTGTTTTAGGTTTTTCCAAGCCTATATGAGCAAAAAGCTAAAGGTTTTAATAATTTTTAGTCAGCATATTATCATAGGCTTCTATTAAACACTGATTTTTATTATTCTAGATTCAAATCTATCTAAAATTTAATTTTTTTCGTCGGTTTCGCCACGATTTTTGGGCACTTCGCCACAATTTTTAATTTTTTTTTGAAATTCAAAGAAAATTTTTAAAATGTTTATTGACAAAATATTGTAAGAGGTATTGCTCTACCTTATTGTAACAATTTCTCTTAAACATTTTGATGTTCTACACCTTTTTCTCAATAAAAACACCTGTTACCTATACCTTTCCGCTCAATACCTTGACTTTAGACCATTTAAACCTCGATTTTTTAAACTTTTTAATCTATAACAATATCATTTCAGGTTTGGAAAGACTCTAGCCGCTGAATTAACGTTGATTCGCCAAAAGTTTGGACTGAAAATGCCTCCAAACGAGCAGATTACCTTCAAAAAGTCCCCATCGCCCAAGGAGAACCTGGTCTTTTCCGAATTAAAATCCACAAATTTGGAGGTAAAAGAGCATATTGATGAAGAACCAACTACACATCAGGAAGAAGAAGCAACTGCCGAAGTTCCTCAACGAAAACGAAGCCGCAAGAGTGTGTTGGAAGAGCAGAAGAGTGTTGAAGTAGAGGTGGAAGTGAAGAAGATGAAGGTGGAAGTGGAGGAAGAGGAGAGAATTGAGGAAGAGAAATGTGAAAAGAGACCTAAAAAGAAAGGTGTACCATTTAGAGTGGATAACAAAGGAAGTATAGGTAAGGGGTTTTTAAGATTTTTTTGATTTTAGGTAACATGATTTTGAAAAACGGGACGTTTTTTGAAGTTTAGGTATCTAAATCGAGGTTTTTTGAGGCGGTATTTATAACATTGGCTTTTTTGAGTTTTTATAGGTTTTAGGTAAAAAATCTCAAAAAGATGTTTATTTTAGGTAACAAATTCTAACTTTTTACCAAAAAAACCGTTTTTTCAAAAAAAACTTTTCCTATCTAAACATATAACTTTAGCCTCACGTCGTCACACTCAACGTCGGCTATGTGTGGTCAAAAACTCGACCGGCCTGATTCAACCAACAGCACGACGTTCCTCAACCGCTTCCTTCATTCAAAAACAACAATCCGAGATGGTGACATTGAGGAAACGTTACTCAATCGACAACTTCAAGACACCAGCACTACCAAAGCACGAACCTGAGAGGAAAAAGTTCGTGAAGAAGGTCGTGGAGAAGGTGGAAGTGAAGAAGGTCGCGAAGAAGCCGAGCAAGAATGTAAGTTGACATAGAGTTCACAATTTTTAGTGCATAATGATGTGAATTTAAGATTTTGGATAAGAAAGCGTTGCAACGGTACAGTGACAGAATGGCAGAGGTGTTCGAGAAGGCCAAACATGTTCAGACTAATGAGGTAAGTGAAGGTTTTCGTTGGATTTTTTGTTTAAACGGCAAAAACTTTCTTTACAAAGCATAAAATGACAAGAACTTTCTTTACAAATTTTTAAATGGCAAGAACTTTCTTTACAGACCATTAAATGGCAATAACTTTTTTTACAAATCATAAAATGGCAAGAACTTTGTTTACAAACTATAAATTTTAATCTTGTGTCGTCTCCCACTGTTTCTAAATCAAAATCTATAACTATATCCTCTTCCAGGTATTCTACGGCCGCTGCAACATTCGCCAAGGCCTTTTCGAGAACACAGAAGCCGAAGACGTTACAGCAAAGCAAAAGAACCGGTCCGGCCGCTCGACCAAAGCCAATGTCTCCGACTGCCTCTACTTTGCCCACACTCTTCTCAACGTTCACAACACGGATCCACTGGCTTCAAGGCTACCGAAAGCCATCCGATGCCCGTCCGATCCGAAAATCACAAAAATCAAGAAACTGGTCCGACATGCGAGCCGATCACGGGTCATACGGTATAACAAATACCTACAACGATGCAAACTGCGACAATTGAAAGCCGAGGCTAAAGCTGCTCTTGCCTAATGTTGGTCATCTTTCACAATTTCTGGTCTTTTCTAATGTCATAACTTGGTAATATGACATAGTTAAGATTGGACTAGACTCTGCCTGGTTTTACCATAGGTATTTTTGTCGTATAGATGATTTATGGAGACATATACTGCCAAAAAGCTATTTTATACTAGGTTTTTTGGGGACGAGCTGCCATTTTGGCGATTTTCTGCCATGTTTAAATTGACCTTTTAGGCAAAAATTATTAAAAATAGATAGCAAAGAGTCTTATTCCTCTTTTTTTTAACCAAAAACTTCTAAAATTTTGGTCAGAAACGGTCCAAAACACCTAGTATAGCTATGTTAACATAGCCATTCGGAACTATACCTAATCTTTCAGGCCAAAATCGCCTAATCTTTCTATAATACCCCGCCCTAACTCTCTCGAAAACCTCCCTATTTAGGACTAGAGTTAGCTAACACTACTAGTACCTCTAATTATTCAGAAAACACTCATTACCTTATCATTCCGTTATAAATGTTGTCATACTTAACCTTTCGTCTTTTCAGTGCAATACTGAACAAAAACTTTCACTAAACAGCTCTGATGAGCACGTTTTGAATACAGTAAAACACATTTTAGTGTCGAGTCAGAATTACAGTACATATTGTCATGTTATGCCTCATTGTAGTCCACACCATGTTTTGATCTCCGAATTGATATGAAATCGTAAAAACCTTATTTATTCTAGTTGTTTCACTCTAATTGTAATGTAAATTGTGTACAATATTCTCTAATAAACATTTCTTGTTGACAACACTAACTTTTGAATCTATTTGGAGCCAGAAAAAATGGTAAAAACGGTTGAAGCCCCAATATTATAGTAGACCTGGAGAAGGAAATAAAAATTATTTAAATTAAAAAGTTAAAAATTATAAATTAAATATCAAACATTGGCTTCGAAAAAGCCATATTTAGGGGCATAAAGTCAACGCTTTTAAAGACGACGAAGAATGCACTTGTAGACGAAGTGCCACAATAGCATGTAAGCGAAACTTCACAAAATGTTTTCAAAAGAAATTCTTCGCTTTTTAAAGGTTTTCAGCTAAATTTCAACTGAACCAGCTTAAGAAGGTACGTTTTTATATTCTTATTGTTGTAGTATTTAGGTTTTTTTATTAAATTTGTCACAGTCTCGTTTATGGCAAAGGCGCAGGTCCAGAAATGTGATGTATAAGCTGTTCGATCGGGATTTTAAGGCCATAACCGCACATTCCCATTCTCTGTAAAGACATTTCTACTTCTATTGGATCCATCTTTTCTCCGAATCTTGTTAATAATGAAAAGAACTCAGATCTACTCAAATATCCTGTCTTTCTGGTATCTAGTGCTTTAAAACATTGAGCGCACTCCCATACTGGGTCGATCTTTCTCTGATTTTCGTGGTGAATGATCTCAAGGAATTTGGGAAACTCTATGCGAGGTCCTGCAAAGGGTTTTGATGGTTTAGATATCAAAAAATTTTGTCTATTAAAAAATAAAAGTAACTAGGATAATTTTAAAGAAAAGTGAGTTTTCGATATGAAGTTTGAAGTAAGTTTTATTGTTACCTTTCTCTTTCATGTATTCTACAGTTTCACCGACTGTTGGCACATGTCCCAGCGATCGCATAACATATCTGAGTTGGCTATGGTTGTCAATGTGGCCTTTTGTCACATAAAAGTCAAAACATTGCCGGATTTCTTTAAAAATTCAACATTATCTCTAATCTCTTTAATTTACTAGCCTAAAATAACATTTTAAAACTGTAAGAGCTCACCTGTAAGCTGGGAAACAGTAAAGTTGTGGGCCTGAAAATGAGGATAACGTTAAAAATGTGGCAGAAACTTGATATTTTAGAGAATTTTAGGTAAAAAATTGCTTTGAAAAGCTATAATTTTAAACAAACTTACCATTGGTTTACAAAATGGTTTGAAAGTACAGTAAAGATTAAGTTTTAATTGAGTAAAATTATATACGAAGTAATTAAAAGGATTTCGATCGAATTTTCTTGGTTTTCGACCCGATTTCGCTATCAAGGTCGAATGTTTTGTGATAGAACGGATTAAACTGTGCGTTTTACTGTAGAATGAAATGTCATAACAATGTAGAAGAGTCTTTTTTGCCTAATTTATAAGATTTTTTTCAAAAAAAACTAATTGGTATAGCTTTTGGCTTTTTCCTTGGATGTGTGTTAGGTAGTTGAACAAGATTTTTATATTTTTGATTTTTTTGGTCGATTTTGCGTTCTTGTTGTACTTTTTAAAGTTTTCAAATACTCTATAATGTTTATTGTCTTTTTAGAATGTCAGAACAGCAAGATCCAGTTGAAGGAACGTCAGAAGAGCCCGTGGTATCCTTTAGGAAGCCGACTAGAAGAGGTGTTTTGAGAAGGAAAAAAGTCGAAGAAGAAGAGGTGGAAAAAGAAGACGGATCTGAAGATGATGAAGATACAATAGAGTATGCTTTTTGTTGTTTGTTAATTTTAGGTAACAATGATTTTTCTGGCTAAAACTTTTGGTTAGCTGGATGATCATGTATAAAATGAAGGTTATTTGTAGCTCTTCAAGGCCTTTTATGCTATTATTCCATAGTTCTCACCTTTGTCAACAATATAGTGTAAAATGATTTTAATCAAACTCTTTCAGTCGCAAGCTTCGTGACATCCGTGAAGTCCAGCAGCTTCGAAAACGTCGGAATGGAATGACAGCGTTAGAATGTGCGTTAGGGAAACGAATAGCGAGCGAATTCGATGAACATGAAGACGATCCGTTCAAAAGTAGCAAGACTGGAGGTATGATGACCTTACCTGAAGAAAAACGGAAGAAATTGACGGCTGAGGACATTACCAGTGGAATGAAGGATCAGTTTCATAAAGAAGAGCTGTTGTTTGATGAGGATGAGGAAATGTAAGCTAAAGTTTTTGATTTTTACATATATAGTTATACAATAAAAAGGTATAGGAGGGACTTTTGCATAGTTCCTATAAATTTAGCTCTTGTTTAATTTTAGGAAAAAGTACATTGAAGCCAACCTCTACAAGAACAAGAAGTCAGACACAAGAGAAGAAAAACCAATAAGGACACAGTCAGCCGAAGACGAGATTCTACTTCGAGTAGCAGAAAAAGTTAGGGCCTATACCTCGAAGAAGGACGACGAGCTTTTGTCAAATCAAATGTTAGCAGGTATTCCTGAAGTCGATCTAGGCATAGAAGCTCGGATGAAGAATGTACTAGAAACTGAAAGATTAAAGGGAGACATGGTGGCAAATGGAGGTAAACCACCGCCATCAGAGCAGAACCCTAAGAAGTACAAAAGGTTCAGGATAGAGTAGATTTTCATGAGTATACTGTAGCATGTAGCAAATTTAATATATTATGTTTTAATAAAGTAATATGAATGAATTTTTGTGGTTGTATGGTCTTTTTGTCTAAAAATGGTAAAGTGTCTTACTGTATAGTAAAGTTTATGTTTTCGAAAGTTATCAGTATGTTTGTTAAATAAAATTCTTCACCTTTTAATAATCAAACTTTGTTCTTGTTGTTGAAATAAATCAATGTTGACTATGAGTAACATGTTTGTTTGGATTTGAGTTTATTGAGTTGATTTCTCTTGAGTTATTTTTGAAAGTGGCACACCCGCCCTTTGCCTTGTACAGGACAAGGCGATTTAACATTAACAAATCAATGCCCTGCCAGTTTTGGTGATAAGTTTCTTTCCCTAGCCCTTTAACAAATTTTTAAATGATACCCTTCTGTCATAACTCAAAGCCTAATCTCTTTAAACTTGAAAACACTGACCTAGCCTCAACAATCCTAACATTATGTTCTTCATCTGAATCAACATAGTTTCAGCGTAAAAAGCTGCAGCCTAAAATCTTATTCGATCTTAACCTCTTTGATCTTGAAAGAATTAAGGCTGACCTCCCATAAGTTTCCCGAGGGTATTTATCAACTAAACAATAACTTTCTCGCGAGCACTCTATCAACTAAAGGTGTGCGATCAGCACTAAAATATATATTAGTTACGCAAGGAAATTTCTACGTTTTAGGAATATAAAAGGATGGTTGAGACGAAGGATTTACCAAAAAAACCAACTCGACCTCACCGACGTTCGCTACGACTTCAGCTTGCAACCATGAACATGAATGGCTCCAGCAGCGACGAGGAACTGGCCTGTTCTGGTGTATTAAAGACACCGGAACGGCCATTGAGAAGGTCCCAGCGTATTGCTGGAACACTCAACGCTCCGTTGCGCTTGAGTGAGTCTAGTAATGCGAGCTTGGAAGAGCCTGGCTCAATTACTGTAAGCCGACCATCGTCGGTTTGCAGCGAGTCGAGCCAGGCTAGCAGCAGCGATGGCATTGGAAACTGCCTAACGGCCGAAACGCCGTAAGTTTTCCCTAATGTGTTTGGCCTAATTAGTCGATTTGTGTTCTTACTTTTCAATGAACTATGGTATTTAATTATCATTGTTATTTATATAGAACTTGTGAAATGACTATTATTTGTTATAGAATTGTACCATTCAAAGACGTAGTAAGGTTTGTACGTCAACAATACCATGGAAACACCCCGAGAAGATCAAAGTCCCCGTCACGAACCCTCCGCCGTTCCCTCCGCAATGCAGCCGGCCCATCCTCATCGTTCCTCGATGATCTACCTAAAGCCGAATCCGGCTTCAACGCCAAAATACGCCAGCAAATGACGTATTATACAACATACGATCAGAGAAAGTTAAGGAAAGAGCTGGCAGTGAAAGGCCAGGGCAAGTCAACGCCGGAAGGATTGAAGAAGCCGGTCTACGACTTAATGAATCCAGCTTCAGTGGACCGAAAGTTTGTGGATGACTTGGCAGAAATGCATCTTGAAAATGGCACGGAGCCAGGAGAACCAGAAGTAGCAACGGCTGAAGGCTCGCAATATTTGCAGCGCCAACTCTTCAATAAATTGTAGGATAGGTTTTCCTAAGTTTGTAACATTGCTAATATCTATGATCTCCTTATCTTCTGGGAGTTGTTTTACTTCATCTTTGTACGATTTATTAGAGAATATGTAATTAACTATGATCGAAAAACAGACATATGTTTTCCTTACTTTTACGGGTTATTTGATTATCTGATGTATTCATATCAATTCCTGATGCATTCATATCAATTCTACAAATAAACGAGTACAAACTATTTGTTGCAGTTATTGAGTTTCTATTGATAAAAGTTTGGAGTTTAAAGAAGTATAACAGCCGTGGGAATTTAATTAAAAAAATCACTACAATATTCCATTTTCATTTAAAACTATAATAAACACGAAAATTACATGTAAAGTGATATAAAAATTACCGTTTAACTTCGCGCCCACTCTGAACGAAGCACTAGTAAAAAAGAAGAAAAAGCGGCGAAAGAATCAATAGCGCAGCGGCTGTGCGCTCGCTTTTTATGCGAAAGGGCTGGGGTTCGAACCCGGTCAACAGCGGTGATTGAAATATTCAAATTTCCTTAACCGAACCAAGTGAATGTTGGAAAAATCTGAAGGATGAGCTGTTCTTTTTTTGTCGTTTGCAATAGCTCTAGCTGCACTACTTATCTATATCGTATTTTTATGGTAAAGTTTAGACATAATTTTACTTTTTGATGCCCAAAAAACAAATTTCAACAAAAATATGTAAGTACTAGTAAATTATAACGTGTATAGTGTCTATCACACCACAATACTCCACAAAACTAACACCTAGTAGGTAAAAATCGATCAAAACATCAAAATCATGCCAAAAGTTAGGTAAAACAAGATTTATTTACAAGATTACAGAAGAAACTGACACAAAAAATTGGCCAAATGGAATTATCATAGAAGATCGTAATAAATTACACCCGTTCTATTGCTTGCGGGGTTGAAAGACCTGAGTGGCATGGGGTTTGCGAGGCCCATCGGGTTGACGGGTGGCATGCGGCTTCTCGTGCATGGCCTTGATACCGTCGGTTGGGAAGTCGCGTTGGATCTGGAATGACAATATTGAGAAAACATTTAAAAAATATGAGCAATAATTCCGAAAAATCTTTGAAAGTTCGATAAAATAAGCCTTTTCACCTAGTTTCAATCTACTAAAACAAAATAGTAAAATTTTGACCAAATTAGAAGGTAAACGGTCAGAAACACCATCATCTGTACCTCTAAAATGCAATTTTCAAATTTTTGTTACCTAAATCCATCAAAACCAATAAAAACCCTCACCTGCCGAGATTCAGCCTTGCTCATGCGTAGCTTGCCTTCAGCATCCAGCTCGCCACCTTCCGATCCTTCCCCATTGTCTCCACTGCTCAACGTGCGGTCTTTGCGGGCGATTCTCATTCCTCCGGCCACTTTCTCAGCTGGTGGATGTCCTCCCTTCAGTACCTCGTCTTGAACTTGATCGCTCATCTTTTCAAAATTTATCGTCTAAATGATCAAATTTAATATGTTGATAGGCTTTCATACTCGATGAAATGTTTTTATACACGTTATGATGAAATTAAAATGTTCGCAAAAAAATTACGACAAACATTGAAAAGTTACGAAAGTCACGAAAAACACGATATTGCACTTGTTTTTGATCGAAAAATTATGAATTTCAAATTTAAAATAAGATTTTCAATCCTAAGAGTTTTAAAAGACACTAAAAAATCATATACAAAAGGTTAAAGACGAAGTTTTACCCAAAACTACCAAAAATTTATATTATACATGACGAGTCACGTTCCTTTTCTTGTTTTTGAAGCGAAACACGTGACCTTCATCAATTTTCGAAGATAAACCCTTTTAAACATGACAGCAAATGTTTTTTCTACCTAAAACAATTAAAAACATAATTTAAAAGCCAAAAACATTAAATATTGCCCAAAGTACAAAAAAACCTCAAAAACCTCCATATTCATCACCTTTAAGTTTTCCAAGCAAACTGCTGAGGCAAGGCCAAAACAACACAATAACAAAAACCATGGGGCGTGGTAGAGACTACTGCGAAGGGAGAGAGTTGTTTTCGAGATGGAAAAGCGCACGGAACAGCCCGTTTTGTCCATCTCACCCCTCAAATCAGCTATTTATATGGGGAATCAAGCCGCGGAACTTCTGAATAAACATGAAACACGTTCTAAAGCTGGTGGGCAAGGTCACTAGCATTCAGATCGTTCTATATCATGTTTATTACAACGTATATTACCATTATATCATGTAAAATAGACAGTTCTCCCAAATGACCAAAAAAGTTGAGAAAAACGAAAGAAAGAGGATAATAACATCATGGTGAACATGCGATTAATGTTCAGGCTAAAAGATCACCGTGATCTTTGAGGTCTTACCTCAAAAACGTCTGCTGGCCGCTCATAATTAATCGTACAAACGAAAAAAAAACAAATTTCGAAAGATTTGTTGACAAATGAACAAATTACGACAAAATGCCAAACAACTTATTTGCAACACAGCGTTTTCGTGTCAGAACCACTTTGTGCAACCTGTGTAATTTACTACAAGACAAAATACAATAATATCTCCACATTACAATAAAGATAACTGTTCAATTTATTAAGAAATAATATCAATAGACAGTTTACAAACCTTTTATATCCCTCTCCGTCATCAAGTTTAGTATACAATATAAAAAATGCTGTGAAGCGATGGAAACGTGATAAGAAAGTGTTTTATATTGTAAAATGCCCTTCAAAAGCTGTAATACTGGTAGAAAAAATAAAGTAAAATGTATTCGTGACATTTTTCTATCCATTACGAACAATATTTTCTAGATTTGACGCTGTAATTTTGAAGAACGACAACGTTTTTGAACTACATGCCTATGATAACATATTTTTTTGGGGAAAATGCCAAAATTAATCAAGTAAAGACAAAATTTAATAAATAGATGAAAAGTACAATAAAGTACAACCAAAAATAAATCTAAAATGACACATTAGAGCTCAAAACTTTGTTTATATACACCAAAGCATGTTGTTTTAGATTGCGAAACCTGTGATAACTGTCCGACAGTCCAATAACTCACTCAACAGACTGAAAAACTACTAAAAATAAACAAAACCTTCGACATGTTGTTCTATACTAAAGTTCGGATTCCGTTATTTATATCGTGAGTTGTTCTTTGAGCTCTTACGAAAGTTATTTTCAAGCAAAACAACTCACGACGAGAGAGTGTTTAGAAGCGAGAGTGTGTTAGAGAAGGGCGGAGAAGAAGAATGTGAACATTCGGAACGATCTATGGTCGCTTAGACATTGTTTTTACGAAGACGACTCATATTCAAAACTGAAACATTAAGGTCATAAAGCGAAGAAGGATAGGTCGAAATGGCAGAGAATTCATTTTATTTAACTTCTTTTCTTCAAAACATAAAATATTTTATCTTAACATATCAGGCTAGAAAATTAAAAAAGACTTTTAAAAATTAAAAAATTTTTTAAAATTTCCCACCTCCCTAGATCCAAAAATTTGTTTTGAGAAGAGGCACAGAATTATTTGAACAACCTAATACTTTACGTACAACTATTGAATTTAATAAAGTCAAAATCAAAAAATGTAAAAATTTTAGAACTTTGCATCTTTTGCAGGTTTATATTCCATTTTATATCTAATAACAGTATCTAGGGCAAAGACCATCTGCGGCGTATTTTACAAATAAATTGAAAAAAGTACAAATGCCTTATAACTTCCCGTATTTACGCTTATTAGGAACCTCATTAAAAGTATTTTATAAAAAATTTTATTTATTGACAAAATCGACCAAAATTTATTCTTAAAATTGAATATTAACAAGTCGAGAAAAAACGGCGTATTTTACATGAAGAATATGGCGTTTTTTGAAAAATCTAATACTCAAAACGAATCAAAATTTTGTAAAAAAGTTTTGCAAAATTTCCAAAGCATCTCGATTTTTTTAACAAATCTGGTTGACCGTATTTTACCTATATATAACACATCATTTCACAGTCATAAAAGTTTCAAAGTTTGATAAAACCTTGCATTAGCCCTAGCTTAAGCTCTAGCTCAAGCCCTAGTTTCTAGTTCTAGCATTAGCCGAAGCCCTGGATTTAACGCTAGAGCCCTATTCCCAGCCTTAGTTCTAGCCTAAGCCCTAGTCTAAGCCCTAGCCTAAGCCCTAGCCTAAGCCCTAGCCTAAGCCCTAGCCTAAGCCCTAGCCTAAGCCCTAGCCTAAGCCCTAGCCTAAGCCCTAGCCTAAGCCCTAGCCTAAGCCCTAGCCTAAGCCCTAGCCTAAGCCCTAGCCTAAGCCCTAGCCTAAGCCCTAGCCTAAGCCCTAGCCTAAGCCCTAGCCTAAGCCCTAGCCTAAGCCCTAGCCTAAGCCCTAGCCTAAGCCCTAGCCTAAGCCCTAGCCTAAGCCCTAGCCTAAGCCCTAGCCTAAGCCCTAGCCTAAGCCCTAGCCTAAGCCCTAGCCTAAGCCCTACCCTAAGCCCTAGTCTAAGCCCCTTGCATAAGCTCTAGACTAAGCCCTAGCTTCAGCCCTAGGATAAGCCTTAGTTGTAGGCTAAGCCTTACTCTCAACCTTTCCATAGCCCTAGCTGTAGCACCAGACCCAGCTTTATCTTCTTCCCCTCAAATTGTTTATTTTCCTTATACCCTACCCCAATCCTAAAAATAGATGTTGCCCTCAAATTAAGACAATATAATTGTCAAAATATGTTGTGCCCTTTAGAGCAAACATATTACAGTAACCTTGGAAGCCGTGTTTAGTCGCTGGTTGAACTCCGAAATACAGCAAAAACACTCGGCGAGTAACAAAAACACCGCCTCAAACTTATAATTGCATCAGAAATTGGGCATTGAAAGGAGAGTAATTGTGATCTGATGGTACGATTCTCGATCATCGCCAACGTTCTCTTGTCTTCTGACTTCAATTCACGTCCGGGTTGAGGGTTAGGTTTTGCAGGGTGTTTCAAGTGGGTTTTTGACATTTTTCCGGGTATGACTACGGTAAGATTAGAGTAGGTCAGGCTAGATTTTTGAGAAAGAGCTATAGGCAGGGGTAGCGTAGGTTTAAACAGATTAATAGTAAAGCGGTAGAGTTAGTAAAGGGTTCGTTGGGGTCCAGTTGAATAAGGTAGGCAAAAGTGTAGTGTAAAAATAGAGTAAAATAAGAAAAGAGCTGGCTTCAGTAAGACTACAACATGGCTAGGGAAGAACAGTGGTAGGGTTAGGTTCGGATAAGGCCAAAGCTAATGCTAGTAACAAGGCTAGGTCAAAGCTAATGCTGGGGTTGGGCAAAAAAATAGGTTGGGGAATTTTAGAATATGGCATTGTATGTATGATACGGTTAGGTAAGGCTTCAACGTTCTACCTAGTGCAGGGAGAAGTAAAGTAGAGAAGACAGGATAGGGTCTTGTATTGTACAATAGGAACAATAGGGCTATAGTAGGTTAAGTAAAGGTACAAAGGCTAAAGTAAGCCTAGGGTAAGGTAGATCTATCTTTCTTGTAGAGAATGAAAATATAGGTCAAGACAGGGTAGGGTATTATAAAGTAGAGTAGAAAAGGGTAGGGCTTTAGTAGCTTAAGTCAAGGTAAAGTAGTGAGGGGTAGCTATAGTGCAAAGCTACGACAAAGTAAGCTTAGGTTAAAGCAGTGTAGACTAACAGGTAAGAAAGAGTAGGACAAGAAAAGGCGGGGTACAATGAGATAGGGTAGTGTAGGGTAGAGTAGTAAGAGTGGAAGGGTAATGCAAGGTACAGTAGGGTAGAGTAGAGTAGGGTAGGGTAGGGTAGGGTAGGGTAGGGTAGGGTAGGGTAGGGTAAGGTAGGGTAGGGTAAGGTAGGGTAGGGTAGGGTAAAGTAGGATAGGGTAGGGTAGAGTAAGGCAGGGTAGTGTAAGGTAGGGTAGGGTAAGATCACTTAGAGTAGCGTAAGGATCAAATGGCGTATATTGTTGTACTTTTTATGCTTACGTAAGACTTATTCGTATTGTAAAAAAATGGTGATGAGAATTCGCAAACTATTATAAATCGAACTCTCAAAGGAGTAACTTCAAAAATCTTCACAAATAAGTTGTATAATCTTTTATACTAACGTTACTGTTTTCTAAAAAAGCGTTTTGTAATTGACATTCGCTTATTGAAAGCTTTTTTTATAATTCTAGACTGGTTAGTAAGAAAGTCAAATAAGCTGTTTCATTTTACGACATTTTTTGTTTGCTTTTAACAAGTTTCGAACTGCCATCCTTTCTCTCTTTATTTGTCTTACAAAACTGTTGAAAGGCAGTTAAAAAATTTAAATTTGGTTTTTGAAGCGCCGTCTACTAATTTATGTGTTCATCTTACTTTCTATTTTTTCCTCGTATTTTACCATTGGAAAAAGTGACTTTGATTGGGGAGGATAAATTGTAAATTGTTTTAGCTTACAATTTTTTTATTCCAAATTTGAAAAAAAAATAAAAAAAAGCTTTTTTAGATGATAAACCCTAATAAGAATTTTTTTAACACGCCTAATAAGAAGTTGTAATTATTTTTTACACTTACCTACCCTTATTTTTATCCTACTTCGCCAACGTTTTTCTAGTTTTTTACCCTGCCAAATCTGTTTTTTTATATTGTTTTATCCTGCCCAATCTGTCTTTTTTTGTAAGTTTTCAACCCTCCCTGCATAGGCATATTTTAAGTTTTTACCCTGCCTCACCAATATTTTTTGTAATTTTTTTATCTCGCCCCACCAATATTTTTTGTGTGTTTTCACCTCTTCTAGCATAGTCATTTTTTAAGTTTTTTACCCTGCCCATCAATATTTTTAAAGATTCTTACCCCAGCCTTCCTAAAATTAAAAAAAAATTTGTAACAAAGCTTTCAAGAAGTCTTGTCGCTTTTCAGCGTACAAAGCGTTGTCCAAAAGCGACAAGACTTCTTTTATGACCCTAATTGAAACTTTTGTGACTCTAATGTAATAAGTCTTGCAAATATTGATTATTATTGTTTCAATACCTTAATTACGATGATTAATTGATTCTGCAAATCAGCTTTTCTCTTATTTGTTCTAACCTTTCAACATATTATTCCGTTCCTTAACTCCTCCCTCCTCCTCAATATTTCTTCCTTTCTCAACCACCCCTCCCACACTCTCTCTCAATACAAGGTGCGCCAAAAGTCCCCGGACTCATTATTTTAGTCTTGTATAGTCCTCATTTCATCAACTCATCCCCACCCTACCCCCTCCTGAATGTAACCCTACCTTTCTTAAGTCATCCACCCCTCCCCCTCCTCAATAGACATCTATTTTAACGTATCCCCACCCCTCCTCAATAGACATCTATTATAACGTATCCCACTCCCTCCTCAATATACAGCTTATAAAAACCTCAATCCCACTATCTCACCTCCTCCTTCTCCTAATATATTACCCAAGAACAATAAAGGTTTGTTAGTGCAAAAACTACTCATTTCCTTTATTAACTAAGCTAGCTCGCGCAAAGACAAAAGATTTTGTGGTTTAATGGAGAGAAAACAATTGGGCGATTGTTTTGCGACTTTTTTGGTGATTAGGTATCACCCTTGGAACAAAGTCGAGATTCCAGGAGTTAGGTTGTCGCTTTCTGTTGTTTTTAGAATTTGCTAGATTAGCGGTGGATTTGGGGGTTATTTGGGATTTGCAAAGCTTTTGTATGCGGAGTCTTACTGTATTTGAAAGAATACGATGACTTTTGTATCGAATCTTGATTTTAAAATTTTAATTTCTATAATTTTTTGGAATAATATTGACTTTTAAGAATAGACAACCAGGGTCGGGTGCTATTTTTTGAGAGGGGGGGGATTCACATGTCAAAATTTTTTTTCAAAAAACGTTGAAAGTGGCATCCCCCATAACATGTCGAAACACAATTTTTAAATCCCCTTTCTCCTTCCCCTGTCTTTTTAATATAATAACCCTATTCTAAGCTCTGGCCGTAGTCTAAGCTCGAGCCTAAGCTCTAGTCCTAGTCTAAGCTCTAGCCCTAACCTACGTTCTAGTCCTAGTCTAACCTCGAGACTAAGCTCTAGTTCTAGCCTAAGCCCTAGCTTAAGCTGTAGCCTAACGAATAATATCTGTCAGGCGGCAGTGAAGAAGGGGGGGGGGGGACTACTTTAAAGAAATTTTTGTAAAATTTCTTTTGCTGGGTGTGGAGAAAGGGGATTTTTATTTTTTTTGCTGAGTGGAGGTGGATTTTCGACTCTTTTGAACAAATTACAAAAAACATCCGCTATCATTATTATGGTAAATCACACTTGGAACAGAGGCTTCTGGAAAAGAATTTGTAGTTCCATGAACCGGCCCCTATGACACTCAAATCTGTTTTCTTTTCAAAATGACCATTGACCACTCTTTTTTTTACTTAAACTTAAAACGAACACATGTTTGTTTAGCTCAAACATGAAACTTTTTTAAAAAAAGTAGAGTTATTTCAGTGTTCTTCCTCGTGCCGTTCTAAAAATAAACTTTTTTTAAATTTAAAACATTATTTTTAAGCTTTAATAAGCTGTACTTTGTTCAATTTATCATATATAAATGACTTTTATTTTTCAGAAATAAAGCTTACGATGTTAAGGTTACTAATACCTATATTTTTCTTTGTGACAGTAGTTTATGGTCAAGGTGAGTTAAAAAGCGACTTTTTTCTAAAAACTCTGAAATATGAGCTGCTTACCTAAAATATATTTTAACCTGCCTGATTTTTCAAAGACTTACTATTATAAGTTAATATATTCATTATTTTAGGCCTAACCTCCCAGCCAATCCAGAGTAAGTACTTTGAGATGAGACTGGAAGACTTTCACGATGGATCCCCTCAAACTATGGGAGTGTACCCAACATTGACAGAACTGTCATTAGACGCTTTGTTGGATGATGAAAGATACCCTCCTGATATGTACTATAGACAAACTTTTGGAAATTTGAAAAAAGTCGCTCCAAATCTAAAAAAGTTGTCGATTTATGGTGGTTACAAGTTTCGACCTGAGTATCCGGTAGGTTTACTGTAATTTTGAAAAAAATTCACCTTTCTGAAATTTTCAATTTCTACTTTACTTTGCCATACCTTACCTCAATATACCATATACTACTTTACCTTGCCTTATCATACCCTGTCTTTGCTTAAATCTAAATTATATTGTAGTAGCCGCCTTATACTCAACAAAATCAACCTTTTAAAATTCCAGGAGCCCTACATGATAAGCCATGAAATCCAGCACATCCAGCGTAGTCTTCGCACGATCGTCGGCGAAGCTCACCACGTTGGTATCAACTTTGGTGACATTAATATGCAAGCCGTCCTCTACTTCCCAGAACGTCTCGTCAAGTCCTCAAACTACATTTCCACGATCAAAAAGCACTTTCACGTCGTAAGAACGGTGGGCCCTCGAGTACAATGTAAATTCACGATCGAGAACACTCCAGTCGAGTTGTGGATCACGTTGGAAGACGAAATGTTTTGGCGAACGACAGGCGTCAGCCGAACCCCCTTCCACGGCCGCGGCAAACGACAATATGGAGTGCAGAAGAAGCATGAAGCCGTGTATCATTTGGAAGACTTTTACTATGAAAATGTGGTCAAGGAGAGGAGAGCTACAAGGTTTTTACTGTTTTCTCCGATTAATATGTTTGGGAGTGATCCAACTAGCCAGTATAATATCGCTGCCAAGAATTTCAAGCTTTTGTCACCGAATGCTGAACAAGTACAGATGTATGGCGGAGGACATGCTGTTTTGAAAGTAAGACAAAGTTTAAGTCCTTCATTTTTGTTATCTAAACACCAAAGAAAAATAAGAAAATATTACCTTTTCCAAGTTTAAGCTGAAGTATAAGTTGATGAATTGGGTTCTAACTAGCTAAACGGGCAATTGAGGAGTTGATCATAAACTAAAACAACATCAGATTAATTTAAAATGGCAACAAAAGCGCAAAAATTGTTCGAAAACATAAAATAGCTCGAAATGGTTTGTTACCTAAAATATGAACCACGGTTTTCAACTGGCAAATCGAAGGAAAAGCAAGATTTATGTTAAAATAATGTTTAAAAAAACATTATCAAAGATACACTATAAATAAATAAAGGCTTGTCACAAAAAAATGAAGTAAGACGGTTGAAAAACTGAAAAATTTTGGAGAAACGACTACAGAAGCTTTAAAATGACTTTAAAACAAAGATTTTATGTAAAAAATGTTATCTAAAGAAAGTAAAATTAATTTCTAGCCTATAAAATTAACGTAACCTTTAAAAAATTTCTAAAACGACCTGTAAAAAAGCAAAACCCTATCACAACATGGAATAATTGTGGCGAAAAAATGAAAAATTGGGAAATTTTAGGACACTAGTGTTTTCAAGCGCACTTGAAAATAGTTTGTCTAGAATAATAGAAAGGCAGGGTAAAATAAATTTAAAATCACGGTATTAATAAAGCATAAAAAACTAATATTATTATATTTTAGAGCCAAAGCGAATTCATGGCCGAACTGGATCTTCTCCACAAAAACCTGTTCGCCGCAGTTCAGGCTGTTCAACAAAAGGGAATATTGGTCGAAAGTGTCATGTTGAAGGCATATTATACTGGAGTGGTAAGATTTTTCATTTCTTTTCAAAAATTTTTTTCAATTTTTGGTTTTTAGAAGTGTTGTAAGTCTTGTCGTTTTTTATTGTGAAAATCAGTGTAAATTGACGACAAGTCTTTTTTTGGCGTTTTAAATCTAAAAAATTTGAATTTTTGGAAATCGACGTTTTTAAAATGATCTTTTTAAAGTAAAAAAAAATTTCTAAGCTATAATTTTTTTAAATTTTCCATAGCCAAAATAAAAATATGCAAATTTCAGCCAATTTCGAACCCCGTAGGCCTGATTCTTCAAACCTTTAAAGCCAATCCAGTCTCCCACGGTCCAACGGCTTATTTCCTGTCATTTTCAATTGGCCCAACTCCAGTTCGAATGGATATTGGCTTCTCCCTGCCTTCTGAATATGCTTCTCAAGTCGATCCGAAGGCTCATCGAAGTGTGTTCGAAGTGCTGCCAATGCACCTTCAGTTCGATCCAATTTTTGAAAAAAATGTACAAGAAAAAAAAACCTGTTTCAAAGTGGATGTAGAGCCAAAGGATTCAGCAAAAAAGGCATCTTTGACACTTGTGGGGTCAAGGTAGGCGGAACATTTTGTTGGGAAAACATAAAATTTTTAATGTAGATGGCTAGGATAGGACTGGGGTAAGCCTAAATGTCTCAGTTTTAAGGGTAGGGTAGAGAAAGGTGGGTACGGTAGAGTAAAAGTGTAGGAACAGGGTAAGTTTTTTAAAATTTGGCTAAATTTTTAAGGGTAGGGTAGCTTTTTGAAAGCAGGGTAGATTTTCCAAGAGCAAGGTTGAATTTTAAGGCAGGGTATGATTTTTTAAAGGGGTAGATCTTTAGGGTTAGAGCTAAGGATAGGATTAGGACTGGTGCTAAGGCTAAGGCTACTACTAAGGCTAGGGCTAGTTCTAGTGCTAGTGCTAGGGCTCTGGGCTAGGACTCTGGGCTAGGTCTCTGGGCTAGGGCTCTGGGCTAGGTCTCTAGGCTAGGGCTCTGGGCTAGGGCTGTGAGCTAGGGTTTTGGGCTAGAGCAGAACTACGGTAAGGCCTGGTTACGATTAGAGTAGTTCAAGTTTTACGTCTGGATGTAACAAATCTCATTTTAGTTAATCGTCCCCCAGCAAACCCTGGAAAGCTTTGCATTGATTAACCCATCATCTGCTGAAAGGCAAACTCAGCTAATGCATCTTACCCTTGGTTCGAATGTGCCATTTCATTTACGGAATTTATCCGAAATATACCACAAGGCCTTCAGTAATCTGAAGGCGATTGCTCCAAACCTAAGAGATTTGAGGATTGATGCCAAGTTGAAGATTGATGGGGTAGGTGATTCATATGAGTTTTTACAGCGGAACCTGCGTATAGGGAACCTCTATATAACGAAACACCTGTATAACGAACAAATTTTAATTCTCCTAGCGATTCGTTATACAGAGGTCTTACTGTATATTTAAATTTTTTGTAAAATACGAATCAGAGCGTGGCGTATACTGTACTTTCCATTTTAATATTGTCAAGTGAGGTTGAAATTTTTAACATAAACTTTTCTTTAGAAGCCATCAGAAAAAGTAGCAATTTTAAAAGAAGCCACGAAGGAAATGGTGAACGCAGCAATTGCTTCCAACATCAATTTGGCCAGAGAGTATATCAACATTAACATCGACTTTATGGGCGTAAGTTGGATGATAGGGTATTTTCCATTGCTTCATAAGAGGCAATATTGTAAAAAATTTGGGTACGGTTGGGCAAGGCAGAGTAGAGTAGGGTAAGGTCGAGTGGGGTTGAGCAAAGATTTTAAGTCCAGGGTAGAACAAAGTGGGTTTGGTAGGGCAAGTAAGAAAGGCAGGGCACGGAAATACAAAGAAAGGTAATGTTGAGGAGGCAAGGCGAGACAGTGCAGATTAAGGTAGGATATGGTAGAGTAAGGTAGGGTAGGGTAGGGTAGGGTATGGTAGGGTAGGGTAGGGTAGGGTAGGGTAGGGTAGGGTAGGGTAGGGTAGGGTAGGGTAAGGTAAGGTAAGGTAAGGTAAGGTAAGGTAAGGTAAGATAAGGTAAGGTAAGATAAGGTAAGGTAAGGCAAGGTAAGGTAAGGTAATGTAAGCCAGGGTATCTTTAATTTTACTATTTATATTGATTTTTAGTATAGGTAAGAAACGTGATAATGATTTTAAAATTTCAGTCCTTCCCACCTCCAAGTGTATGGCAAAAAAATATGGGAGTAACACAAGTTCCAATGACTCCTCCATACACGTTAGAGTACTACGAAGATGATGTTTTGGTGAGGATTCAGGCGTCATATATGGCTGGAATCTCGAGGAGACGAGTTTCAAGGAGGAGGAGAACTAGAATACGCAAAATCAAAGTTTAAAACTCTTGTACAGTAACGAATGGCTGCGGGATTTAAACATGCTTGTTATCCAGGACTTCCACTGCATTTTTAACAATTTTAAGAGTTTTTTTTGGCTAGATTGTTTGCTAGTTCAGTCAGTTTTCTAATTTTAAAGCAAATTTCAAAAATTTTAAAAAAAGTTTTACTTTAGGCGTTTTAGAAGAATACCATGATTTCATACGGTCTACTATCTCATTAACCATTGTTTTATATATCATTTGTATAACAGCTTCTGTAAATATACTTACATTTCAAACTTTTATTCATTGTTACCCTATACATATACATACTCGTACGATATTCAATAAATGTTGAACAATTTTAAATTTAGTCGTATTTTACATATTATCGAGAACAAGTTTTTAGTTTTAAAATTAAAAAAAATAACTTTTGATTTTGTAAAGAAAATTATTGTAAGTTTAACCCGTAATGAAGAAATTTTGAGTATTGCAGCCTGCGAGTGGCAAGTTATACGATGAATGTTGTTTTTGCTGTTTTTAAAGTAAGTTTTTTTTCATAGAGTTTGTAAACAAAGTTTTTGCTATTTTATTGTATGTAAAGAAAGTCTGCCCTTTTATGACTTGTAAAGAAAGTTCTTGCCATTTTATGTTTTTAAAGAAAGTTCTTGCCATTTTATGACTTGTAAAGAAAGTTCATGCGATTTTATTGTTTGTAAAGAAAGTTTTTGCTATTTTTAATTTCAAATAAAATTTTTAAAATTTTTTTCATATTGTAAAGAAAGTTATTGCGAATTTAATCCAAAATAAGCTAATTTTGTATCCTGCAGCCTGCGGATGACAAGTTATATAATAAATATTATTTTCGCTATTTTAAAGATTACGCTATTTTCAAGCCAATAAAGAAATCGTGTTTTACCATACCAAAATATTGTTTTTGGAAAAAGTTTTGGGTGTGTTAAGGTCGCGCAATGGTCATTTTGTAATTTGTAAAGAAAGTTCTTGCCATTTGACGTTTTGCATAGAAAGTTTTTGCCATATTTTGTTTTGTAAAGAAAGTTCTTGCTATTTTTACAAATTTTAAATTTTTTTATTGAACACCAACAATTACACCTTTACCTTTTTCAACACTGAAACCATTATCATTAACACTCTCTTAACCTTATCACAGTTTGCAGGTTTCGAACCCTTATCACAACATTTAATAACCTTGATCGCGCTTGACTTCCGGCGCTCGCTTAAAGACAACCGTCTGATTGTTTGCTCTTCCTTCCGGTTTTTTAAGTAAATATTGATGCTTTATCAAATTGAGGTGATTTTTAAGAGTTTTTGGGTAATAATTACGTTATTATAAAGGTTTTGGAGGAAAAATTAGTGTAGAGGTTTTAAAGTGCAAAAAACTTTGTTTACAGTGAAGAAAAATTGTTTAATTTGTGAGTTTATGCTGATTTTTTCACTGGAAAGAAAGTTCTTGCTGTTTTACGTCGTGGAAAGAAAATTGTTACCGTTTTATAAATTGTAAAGAAAGTTACTTCTAGTTTTTTTCTACAAAAGCTTATTTTGAATCGTGCAGTTTGCGAGTGACAAGTTATACGCTGAATGCCATTTTTGCTATTGTAAAAGCATTTTTTGTCATTATATAATTTGTAAAGGAAGTCTTTGCCATTTTTTAATTTGTAAAGAAAATTCTTGTCGTTTTTTGATTTGTAAAGAAAGTTCTTGCCATTTTTCATCTGTAAAGAAAGTTTCTTCGTATTTTTTAATCTCGTAACAAAATATAAACAAATATGCAAATTTCGAGCAAATAAACATTAGATTCAAAAGTTTTTTCGTTTCGCGACGCTCTTAAGAACGTAAATTTGCATAAGTCTCTGGATTTACAGCTCATTTGAGCCGCAACTTCAGAAAAGGACGTCGTCTTTTGAATCGAGCAAAACGAAGTTTTTTTAAAAAAGTATACGATCAACGTGATTAAAATTATGATTTTTGGAGTATGATGGGTTTGTAAAATACGGGATTTTTAAATTGGTGATAATATAAGCGCTAATTTTTTTAAAACGGTCATCAAACTGGAATAAGGTTAAAAATATAAATTGCTATTTTTTACAAGATGAATAACTAAAACAGCCTGAAAATTCATAGCCATACGTTTTGGACTAGCAGAAACAGTTTTGTAATTATAAGTTTTTTGATTGAATTACTGTAACATGGTGTATTTGATGTCGACTTCAAAACTGAAATTTTGCGTGTTTCATAGAGCTTTCAAACACTAAAAAGTGACATTTTAAGAAGTATTAAAATATAAAAATTGGTATCAGTAATCTTGAAATGATAAGAAATATTTTTCTCGTTGTGACGTTTCTGATTCGACTACTGTAACATAGCGATTTTCAAATTGATTTTTCGAAAACCCGAAGTTTTGTGCGGTCTTTGGGAGTTTAAACACTAAAGTGTCATTTTAAGATACATTAAAAATATAAAACTTGTTATCAGTAACACTGGAAAAAAAGAAAGTTTTTTTATTTGTGATTTGTTTGGTTGGGTTACTGTAACATAACGTATTTGAAGACGCTTTCTTGAAAAACTGAAATCTTGCGTGGATTTTGAGATTTTAAACGCTAAAACGTGCCGTTTAAAACCATAGCAAAAATATGAAAGTTGGCATCAGTAACCTTGAAATGATAAGAAGCATTTTTGTAATTTCAACTTTTTTGATTGGGTTACTGTAACATAATGTTTAGCCTACTTGAAAAGCCACTTTTTTCCAAACTTTTGGCTAAAAATAGATTTTCTGGTCTAAATAATACTATATATACTCACTTACCCTTTCTTGACCTTGTTATGTCACCATGAAATTAGAATGAATCAGCCCTTATGTGCATGTTTACCCATGTTTTTATTGGCAGGGTAAAATGGGGGGGGTTTAAAAGCCTCGAGGCGACGAATTTGATTCAATTATTCGCTTCTCTGATTTCGCTTCCAAGTACTTGAGAGCGGACATTACAACAATAGATTATGTTATACATCTTTGTGTTTGGGCATGGGCGATTTTGTGGCTTTTTGTTGCTGGTAATAATTTGAATATGTGGGTAATGGTAGTGAGAGGGAGGGGATTTTGGGAGTTTTATAAATTAAAAATAAGAAAATGTTGTTGCTAGACAAAGCTTTCTTTACAGATCAAGAAATGGCAAAAACTTTCGTTACATATCATAAAATGGCAAGAACTTTCTTTACAGAACAAGAAATAGCAAGAACTTTCTTTACAAATCACAAAATGGCAAAAGTCGCATTTATAGTATAACTTGTCACTCGCAGGCTGCACAACGTAAAACTTGCTTACTTTGAACAGAATTGAAAGAACTTTCTTTACAAACCCACAATAATAATAAGAAACGTCATTTTTACATTTTTTGTTACCTAAAATATTTTTAAAAAAAATAGTTATTGAACATTAACCTTCAGAACTAATTATAGTGATATTATTATAGGTTGTTCAAATAATTCTGTGCTCCTTAACCTCAAAAATTTCCTTTGAAAGAGGGTACAGAATTATTTGAACAACTGAAAACTATTGCAACTACCCTTGTAGTACTCAAAATCTCTTTATCACAGCGTTCTAAATTTAAATCTCATCAGTATAATACCCTAATTTAAAACCCATCACAATATCCATAATAACCAAGGTGTTGACGATGATGTCCCAATTTAGAACCCATAGTATGTTGTGCCAATTATGACAGTATTATGCATAACACATGCCCGTTTCGAATGCATATTACCCTCGCCCCGGTCCGAATGATGGACGAGCGCCAGAAAAGTTGGGAACATACGACCCAATAATCTTCTTTTTGTTTTTGCTTACATATTACACATGCACTTAGTACTTTACATTCATGCTAATTCTTGCCGTCGTGGGAACCCTGAGGGTTTAATTTTTATTTTGCATTTTATTAGACATAGTTGTAGGGAAAGGCTTAAAAGGTAAGGCATCAAGGAAGCATTGAAGGCGAAGGGGGAGGGAGGTGAAAGTTGGGAGAGGGAGGGTTGTAAAATCAAAGAAGGAGGACTTTCTTTACAAAACAAAAAATGGCAAAAACGTTCTTTCCAAAACACAAAATGGCAAAAACTTTCTTTACAAAACAAAAAATGGCAAGAACTTTCTTTACAAAACATAAAATGACAAAAACTTCCTTTACAAAACATAAAATGACAAAAACTTTCTTTACAAAACATAAAATGGCAAGAACTTTTTTTAAATTTGTGAAAATAGCATTTATCGTATAACTTCTCATTCTCAGGCTGCATGACACAAAACCTACTCATTTTGAATTGAATTAGCATATACTTTCTTTACAAAATATAAAAAGGCAAGAACTTTCTTCACATATGGTAAGGTAGAAAATAATGTAGACAAAATGGAGTAGGGCAGGGTAATTAGCTCTATAAGTATGAACTTTGCTCCGAAGACGCATGCTGTGTTTAAGGTTGGTCCAAAAATAAGAAACTCAAAGGGTAGATAGAGGGTGGAAAAAACATGATAAGGTCATGGGTAAACAAACAGTTCAGTTTATGATTTTGTAAACAAAGTTATTGCTTTTTCTCTTAAAAATAACTACATTTTGCGTTTCGCAGCCTGCGAGTGACACGTTATACGATGAAAGCCTTTTTTGCTATTGTGAAAGAGCTTTTTGCTATTTTATTATCTGTAAAGAAAGTTCTTGTCATGTTATGTTATGTAAAGAAAGTTTTTGCTATTTTCTGAATTTTAATGAAATTTCTTGCCGTTTCTATCTTAAATAAACTTGTTTTACGTTATGCAGCCTGCGTGTGACAAGTTATACGATTTGAGTGCTATTTTTGCCTTTCCAAATCTGTAATATGGCATTTTCTAATTTGTAAAGAAAGGTTTTGTAGAGTTAGAAAATTACTATTTTTTAAATTCAAAATCTCATTTAAAAAAATGAATTTTAAAATTTCACGCTTTCTCACCCATATTTTGAAAAGGTTTGGAATGTTTTGAGT